TAAGCAAGGTAAAAAAATATGTCAACATTTTTGCACACCAGTTTAACCTAGTAACATTTACCCGTCAACATAGCGGTAACAAACTTTACTATGGTACACTGCGCTGTCGTTTCAAACGACTTTTGACAGCTTATTGAATTACCAAAATAAAATTACTTTTAACGAGCAACGCTTATCTTGTATTAACATTAAGTTAACTAATGTGAAATTTTGTTCACGTGTTAGTAGTTAATGTTGGCCATTAGCCTATTGAGAAAATAAAATCGTATGTTAGCTAGGTTAAACAAGTTTTATGGCTAGCTGCCTTTCTAGTTTTAGAATTTGTTTGTTATAGTTTTTAATGGAATTTAAGATTTACTGCATTTTTTGTATTTGTGTTTTAAAGGCAACTGCAATGAAGCATCAAGAAAGACATGAGCAGGCCAGCCACCCTGAGACTGATAATTCATGGTAAGAGAACAACTAGGTTTTAAGAGATTTGTGTATTCTATATGGGGTTTGCCTTTTAAAAGTGTGCCATTTCTACTTGTTTTTCAGAGAAGACATTTCTGTCACTAACAAAGTGGATGGTGAGCAAAGGTGGTGGCCACGTTTTGGAGCAGCACCTGGGTTTTGCAGATGGCTATGTATTCTTTGGCTGCTTATCTTTTTTCCCCATTATGTTTCTGTTGCCTAAAGATTCTTTGTTAGGATAAATCCAGATGATACAACATAATGCACTGCAAAATGTCCTAAGACAGGAGAAATGAAGATGCACTGTTCCAGCATAGGAAGACTGTATTTATAAGTGTTATACATGCAATGTTTTAAATAAAGAATTTGATATTTTGTAATTATTGTCTGTTTTAATTGAATGCCAGTAGTACCTATGTAGGGTAAAAATAAAATGAATTCTATATAAAAATTATAAAATCTAATGAAATATATAAAAATGAATTAATTACAGTAGTATACTGATGAATTGGATTTTTTTTTACAGTAATTTACTGTAAAAAGTAGTTTGCAACTGTAAACCAAATACAGTTTGCTACTGTAAATCTTAATTACAGTACTGTAAAAACCCTTTGAAATGTCTAACAGTGTACCGCATAACAATTGTAGTACAATTGCCAAACAAAACCATGTAGTATACTATACTTACTTTATCTATCAGTTAATATATTTATGACTAAAACATGAATTAAATATTTGAACAAATTCTTCTGTTCCAATTACGGCTGTCAATTGATTAAAAAGACAAATGAATCAATAAAAATCATCATATAAATATAATATAAATCACATTTAATACAATATGAAATCACATAAACATCACATTTTTCCCCTGATTTTAAGAGAAAACATGTCCCAGGGCTTTCTTTGTGAACTTCACTTGTCCTATCCTCATTTGAACTGAGTGTTTAACCTGAGGTTCCTCCAGTAAGTTTCTTAAGATAAAAGCTTCTGCTGAAAGACAAATAACTCTAATCATAAACTAATCCTTTTGCTTTCTTTATCTCTTTGTGTTGAAATCGTTCATCATTCACATAAGGGGAAATTTGGATGTTCTAGCATGCTTACACTTTGTAAGAACATTCATTTATTTGTCTTTTCTCTGTGTATTTGTGGAAAGATGTATGTTTCTTTTGTGCAGACTCTGGGTAGTCAAATTAGTTTTTCTGTCTCCTCATCTGCTATCTCTTGGTTTATTTTTGTCTTAACTAATTTGTACATCAGTCTGTCTCTCTTGAATTTTTCTTTGCTTTTATTAGTCTAACTGGCCATTCACACAGGTCACATTCTTTTTTTTCCTTTATCACATTTCCCCGAGCAACGTTATGAATTGGAAATCAGTTTGACGGCAATAACATTGTATATTATACAGGCCCTCTTTGATTTCACTATTTACTAATCAGCCACAATATTTTATGTCATATTAATTCTTTACAAGCTATATTCTGTATGCGTAAACTTATGTAGTTACACTACCCATCGTGCTGTCACGAGTTCTGATTTTTACATGAGATATATAGATAGCAATAGAAACAGACAAAGAGATAGAACGACAGACAGACAGACTGACAGACAGGCAGACAAACAGAGCGACTGACAGACAGACAAAGCTATAGGCAGACAGACAGAGTGACAGACAGAGCTATAGACAGACAGCAATAGACATACAGACTGACAGACAGAACTATAGGCAGACAGACAGATTGACAGACAGACAGAGCTATAGACAGACAGCAACAGACAGACTGACAGACAGAGCTATAGGCAGACAGACAGTGACAGACAGACAGACAGACAGACAGACAGACAAAGCTATAGGCAGACAGAGCTATAGACAGACAGAGTTACAGACTGACAGACAGACAGACAAAGCTATAGACAGACAGACAGATGGAGCTATAGGCAGACAGAGTGACAAAAAGACTAACAGACAGACAGACAAAGCTATGGACAGACAGACAGACAGACAGACAAAGCTATAGACAGACAGACAGACAGACAAATAGATAAAGCTATAGACAGACAGACTAGGGTTGTGCTGATAGATGATAGTATTGTGTATCGACGAAAGTTAGAGATATCGCCTGTTGCTGATGCCTTTGATGATATCTTGTTGTCTAGTGTGCATGCTCGCTGACTGAATTCTGCTCTCTCACGAATTCTCTCATCATAAACAACGAAGTGCAGATGTACATGCGATGTAAGTATAAGAGATTTATTCATCATACAGTGTAGATAGCTTCACTGATTATAACGGGAGTGTTTTTTAAAGTGCATAAACTCGTGCTAGACTTAAGTCAGCGATGTTGTTCTTTGATAATGTAAATATTATTTGCTAGTTTTCTGTAGCTGCTGTTTGAATAACAGAGGAAATGTAAGCATTATAATTAGTAACTTGCAAAGTTTTTTTATTAAATTGTTATCAAGTTAAATACAAATTTCAGAATAATTCAATAATTCAAAATTCAGTAATATTAAAAATATTTTATGATATGAAATCTATATGCTACTTGACTAAAAAGATATAATGTGTAGATAATAGATTACACTAACATTAGGCTGCTTTTACCCTGGAGTTTGTTCACTCTGATTGAACATCTGGCAACATGGTGTAAGGAGCACAACCTAGTCCTGAATACCAAGAAGACCAAGGTAGTGATTGTAAATTTTAGGAAAAAGGGACAACCTAACCACACTCCACTTTTCATTGGAGGCGAGGAGTTACAGCGAGTTCCCAGCTTTGAGTTCCTGGGACTGACTGTGACTGAGGACCTGTCCTGGGGCATTAACACCGCCTCAGCTGTGGGAAAGGCCTAACAGCGACTCTTCTACCTGAGGAAACTGAAGAGAGTCTTGAAGAGAGGAACTTCCTAAGCAGCTCCTGGTGAACTTCTACCACTATGCCATTGAGAGCGTGCTGAGCTATGGACTCTTGGTGTGGTTCTCCAGCTGCACTAGGGCCGAACATCAGGCACTCCGGAGGGTGGTGAGGACAGTGGGAAAAATCATCGGGACCAACCTCCTGGGGATCAAAACCGTCTAGACCACCCACTGTCTGTGGAGAGTGCATAACACCCTGCAAGATCAGTCGCACACAGCACATCACCTGTTCCACCTGCTGCCCTCAGGGAAACGATACCGGGCCATCAGAGCCAGAACCACCAGACTGGCCCGCAGCCTCTATACCCGTGCAGTGAGACTGCTAAACCAACATTCCTCCAATTTACACCCAGCTCATCACACACACACCACACTTCTTTTTCTACACAACTGCAATAGCTGAGAACTGGACTATGCATTTCTGTAGTATTTAAACTACATCCCACAATCTGCAATATATTTTTCACATGGACAATAATTTCTGTCTCTGCTGTTTGCACTTCTGTTCTGCACTTTAACATTGTAGGCTGCTCTGATGTTATCTCGTTGTTATTTATAACAATGACAATAAAGAACCTGAACTCTCCTGCTATGAAACTAGGTAAGTAAATAATTAAATAAATTAGCATGATAATATCGTGTATCGGCGATCTCACAGACTGATGACAGAACAATATGACTACGGAGCATATCGCCCAAGACTAAGACAGACAGACAGAGCTATAGGCAGACAGACTGGATGACTAGTAATTTCCGACTGCTACAGTGCCTTGCAAAAGTATTCTTTTTTTTTCACATTTTGTTATGTTGCTGCCTTATGTTAAACTGCTTTAAATGACTTTTTTTCCACATCAATCTACACTCCATACACCATAATGGTAAAGCAAAAAACTGGTTTTTAACATCTTTGTAAATGTATTAAAAATAAAAAAACTTAAATGATTCCATTGCATAAGTATTCATACCCTTATCTGGGACAGTTGAAATTTAGCTCAGGAGCATTCATATTGCTTGTAGATGTAACTACACTTCAAGTGAAGTTAACCTGTGGCAAATTCAATTGAATGGGTATAGCGAGCTGCCCCCCCCGGCTTCATCTCCACTGCCGCGGTTGCGGCTTGTTCCAGCCGCTGCTATCTCCCCATCTGTGGGGTTGGGGATTCCACGTCCACACTGACTGTCCGCGAAGGCGCTCTTTGCCCGCGGTGATTTCTCTGTACAATAAAGCCTCTGTTGAAATCGCACCTAAATCCAGCCTCGTTTCCGTGACAATCTCTGTTACCCTTAATGGAAGAAGTTTGAAACAACCAGGACTCTTCTTAGAGCTGGCCTCCTGGCCAAACTGAGCAATTGATAGAGAAGGGCTTTGTTTAGAGTGGTGAACAAGAAGCTGATGGTCATTCTACTTGAGTTCCATGATCATATATGCAGATGGGAGAAATCTACAGAAGGACAAACATCACTGCAACACTCCACCGATCTGGGCTTTATGGCGGTGTGGCAAGACTCAATCCTCTCTTCAGGTAAGACGAATGAAAACACACTTGGAATTTGAAAAAAG